GAAAACAGTTCCATGTGGTGAGAACGTCGATGCTGAAAGCATTAACGAGTGGTTGGAGTGTGACGTGAACGAACCTGGCTTCGAGCGCTTGACAGATAACGAAATTGTGAAGAAGCAAAGGGAGAGACCGAGAATAAAGGACAGCGAAGTGAAGAGCCCACTGCGCAGATGCGGAAGACTCACGAAGTGGCTATGCTACTAATCGACGGACTGCTGGGCTATTTGGAAGAACAAGACGACGCGGAGTTGGCCGAGAAACTTATGCTACGAAAAATGCAATCTCGGATCAAGAGAAAATGCTCCAAAGCAAAAGCAACACAATGACTGATTGCTTCAAAAAAGGTGTAGTTTACAGTTATGATTTGTAATTACAAATACATTACAGTATTAAACAGTACATATCATTAATTTTTCTGTGTATCCTTGACGCCTCTCGTAAGTACAAAGCAACTTTTCTGTTTTCATTACAAAAATGCATTTTAGTTAGTTTAAGTGATATACTAAAATATTAAGCGTCAGTAAACTTCCCTGCTGTTTATTTTGTTTTATTGTACATAAAAACGAATTTCAAAGTTGGAAATGACTTTTTCTCTTTTGCTATTTTTTAGCTTTTAAGCAATGGCAGTTACAATGAAATACTTCTGAAAGGAAAAATCGTTATTTGAAACACTTAGAACTGATTAAGAAAAATAGTATTATTTTCACTGATTTTGAAGTTAACCAATTTCTGACCGGATATCGGCGTATCCTGGTATTCTTCGCAAGGTTTAAGTTACAGGACGACGATAAATGTAAGTTATGTGGCCTGTTTGGTGATGCTATGCACTTCGTCGAGGTCTGTCCCTACTATAATAGCTTAAGAAACAATAAAATTTCATTTTGAAAATCCCCTTTTTATGCTATAAAGATTTCTCAGAATTATGGAAATCTGTGATGAAATTTATTGCCGGTGAGCGCCGGGCAGGGGAATCAGTGTAGATATGCATTTATTGCCATCACTATTTGGTATATTTAATAATTGTTTGTTACCATTGTTTGTGTTTGTTATTCGCTTTTTGTTTTTGTCTTTAGTGTCTGCTCTTGTCTAAATGTTGTTTGTTTCCTTTTCTTTCACTTTTATGCTTATAGTTATTATTGCACATGATTATTCTCATTTAGATATTTTATGTTTCATTTTTTTCATTTGTTGAAATGGGCGTGGCCTGTCATGACCATAAGACCAACTTGTTTGGTTAGGCGGGTCGGGCTGCGCCCGCTACTGATACTGATACCCGTTTTTAGCTTTTTTTTGGGATTATCCGCGATTTTTGTTATCCGCGGATAATCGGGAGTGTACTGCATTTGCAGATGAATTCGTTGAACTCATTAACAGAGAAAAGTTATCTCCAGAACACATTTACAACGCTGACAAAACAGGTCTTTTCTGGCAATATGACACCGCGAAATACCTTATCAACATCTACCTCCAAAGGGTGTCATAGATTCCAAAACGAGACTTAACAAATTTAACATGCGCAAATGCTGCAGAAAGGCACAAGTGTAATTTTTTCTTAATCGGAGAAACACGACTTCGAGTATTTAAAGTAGTAAAGATTTTCCCGATATATAGCGTGCAAATAAAAAAAGAGCACGGATGCCACAACCGTTAATGAATGAATGGTTTAAAAATTATTTCATACCAGAGGCTCGGCAACATTTGAATTCAGTTGGTTTAGCTCATGAACGCAAAAATTTTCCTGATTGTAGACAATTATTCGGCTCAAATAATGTATCCATACTTATTCTTTCCTGTAAATTCTATGTCCATCATTCAACCTATGGATATCGGAATAGTGCGCCCGCTGAAATGAAAATATAAAGTAGCACTCTTAAAATGTATGTTAAGTTTCTTGAATAATGTCAAGACTATTCAAGAACTTTTGGCCCACCAGCAGCCGAGCAGTAAAGACGCTGAACACTGGTAGTTCGGCCCAAAGTTCGAATCCTGTGAACTGGCTGGCTGCACGGGCGTTTTCGTGGTTTTCCCCATGTGTAACGTGTATACAAGCCAGTTTTCCTTAGAAAGTCCTCCACGAAGGCATTCCTCCCTTTAGGCAGATAGCCCTCGTGTGCTCTGCCATAATTAAATAATCCAATCAAGAATTTTTGAATTTTTTTTAGCATAAAATCTGCTGTGCGGAGCATCCCAGAAACGTGGGTTGATTGAATTATGTGATTACGGAAAAGCCTTGAGGTCTAGCTGTGGAGGACTTTCTAAGGGAAACTGGTGCGCATACACGTTAGGCATGGGGAAAACCACGAAAACGCCCCCGCAGCCATACCGTTCGTGGGATTTGAACCTCAGATCGAACTACCAGTGTTCAGCTACTTTATCATTCGGCAGCTGGTCGGCGCCCAAGAACATGGGAGGATGTGTCTCCCAATGCTTTAAAAAATACTTGGCATAATTTATGACTAGCTACCATATTTCATGGTGAGGATAAATAAGATGACAGCCGCGAATTTGAAGATTTTCGGATATCGCAAAATAAACATGAAATTCTCCAATTAATGGATTTTGTAAAAAAAAAATATGAAGAAGCAGTAATAAATAATGATATAACAGAAGTTTTTCATTGCGATGACAATGCCCCAACCATCAATCAATTAACGGAAGGCAAAATATATAGTATGGTTCTAGATCTAGAAAATACTGCTACCAATAGCAAAGAAAGAGAAGTTATTGGAAAAAAAGAAAAAAGAAAAAAAAAGAAGAAAAGTTTGATTGACAAGTTAGTCGGAATTCTCGACACAGCAGTTACCGGACTTAATGGTGCTTTGTAATTGAACAAGAAATTATGACTGTCTATAGATTTAAAGAGAAAGTATTAGCGCAAAAAACAAAGCAACTTAAACAACTTACATTGAAAGAAATGTTTAATAAAGTAAAAAATAATATTAATTTTTTTTTGTAAATTTTGATGTCCTTTAGATTATAAATGCTTCATTATTTCATAAATCACGATTTCATATTTTTAATTTTATAATTTCTACATGCCATCTTGCTGGATTTAAATTTATGATGTAATATCTGGAAAAATCCCAAATCTAGAATCACCGAAGTCCCTACAAGTCCAGATCTTGGACTTTGTACTGTAATAATACTAACACAAAGCGAAAAATTCAAACTTATACTCATTTTCTATCTGAAGACGAAAGGTTAGTACTTGCAAGAAATTTCTCCTGTGTAGACTTTGTAATTCAAACACATCCAGAATGAAATATTAAATTTTAGATATACATTTATTTCAGGTAATTGCAATATATTGAATGAATCACTAAATATCTTACTTTTAACCTTAACCGGAAAACCCAAAATTTCAGAATACTGAAGCTCTACCAACTATAAGCTGGCAAATTAAGTAACTGTAGCAAATTCAGAAATTCTTCCAAATTATCCTTGTCATATAGCTTAACATACAAGTATCCAAGGTCCCAACACAGTCATTTTATCCTTCACCTGCACTCAGGCGCATAACCTCAGTCCATTTTCTTATGTCTCTATCATAAACACTGTCTTTCCAACAAATACAAAATTAAAATGTAATCGCAGGCCACATAAAATTGCTTCGGGAGCGGTGCACAACCCACGAGTTTGAGACCACTGCCTTAAGCAGCCAGTACTTAACAGTCATTCCTAGTGCTGGCTGAAATAGCAACTCCATTACAACATCAAATTATCAGGCATTATCCTGAAGCAGTGGAGTCCTACTGCTTCAGGATAATGCATAAACATATACAGCAGTGTCAACCATTTAGGAAATCAATAATTTGAGGTGCGAAATTGTACCTCATCATTTATACTCTCTTGCCATTTCTACAACAGATTACTATTTGGCACTTGAAAAGTTTTTTCTCATAGAAATATGCAATAATGCTGTTGGAAATTACTCTGATTAAATGTGTATTCTACACTGGTGTGCAAAACTTAAGCAACAGCAGGGTTTTTTGCCATAACTCCACGAGAAATCAACTGAGAGACATGAAATGCAGAAATGAAGAAGAGTATTATGTATGTAAAGGATGACGAAAGCATCAGAGCTGAAAAAAGAATACAATGCATACGGTATGGAATCAAACAAAAACAAGCTTTATTGAATGCATAGTATCGTGACTCATGATTATCTATCCAAGAGGAAGAACAAGCAGATGTTCCTTAATATGGGATATGCCCTCCCCTCACAGCAATAGTTGCTTCACACCGTCTCCACATACTCAGAACCAGCTGGTACAACATTTCTTGCGATAGGAGTGCCCATTCCTCAATCAGCATCTGTTTGAGTTCTTGGGTGTTCTCCGGAGGATGTAAGCGTGCTGCAATGCGTCTCCCCAAAACATCCCACACATGTTCGATGAGATTTAAATCTGTGGAATACGCTGGCCAATCCATTCGAGTGATATTTTCACTTTCCAGTAGCTCCTCAACAGCAAGAGTACGATGCGACCGTGCATTGTCATCCATATAAATTAAGTCTGGGCCAATGGCACCTCGGAACAGATGCACATGTTGAAATGCGTTTCCGTCCTTCCTTTTATTCTACTGTTGAGCTGCGCGCGCCGACATCATGCGTTTTGTGTACGCCCACGTCGCCTCCGATGCTTCGTTCCTGATATTTGCATACGCATGACGTTTCTACTGACTTACGTGTTCATTGTACTGATCTCCAGACCTCCTTTTCTGCAATTTCATAGCTATCTGCTAAATTTTTACATTGTTGCTTAAGTTTTGCACACCAGTTTATTTCAGGCATCCTTAAAATTGGCCATTTCACTTGTAAAAATCTAAACAGCTAGCATAAATTTAGTTGGCTTACTAGGAATTATGAGTTTGGTTACCTCTCTTTCAAATTGTAGGAATCTGATTTAAAAAAAAAGTCCTAATTCAATTAAAAATCATATATAAATGTTCTCTTGACACACATTTCCCAACGTTACAGAAACACAAAAATAATACAGAAAAATTCATACAGCAAATCAAATTTTATTGAGCAAAACCCATGTCAGAGGAAAATATTTTCACAGTTGCTTCAAAATTCTTATAATGTACATGCTAATATATACACAAAGTGGCAAACTCTCACAGTAGCTGGCTTTTTTGCAACAGATTTATTACAAAACCTTTACAAGTTAGCATATATAAACTATCACAGAACCAGTTGATTTAAATCCTAGGTACAAAGCAATTTACATACATAAGATAATGAATCAAATTAATATTTATACTCTTTATGCTACATGAATGGACAACTTTAAGAATGAAATTCCTACCATCTTATAAAGCAAAAATTTTAATATAATTTAGATAGATTCCAAATGCATGAAAAAATTTTGTTCTGATAAAAGGATCTACCTGGCCATTTAAAAATATCACATTACTTCATGCAATCAAAGGTAAAAAGCTAACAAAAGATATTTCTCATTCCCTGTGCTTCATTCAAACCATTATCCTATAATGCAGAAAATCTCTAAGTTATATACAAACACACGAAAGACATTTCTATGATTGGCAGACTGCTATCAAGCTCTTTAAACTGTACATAAAAGTAATGTGCAAAATACATAGTTCATTTACCTAATTAAATCCTGAAACAATGCAAAACATTATTTTACACTGAAAAAGTAGGTTTGATTTTTAGGAACACCATACAACATGGATTAAACAAAGCAGTTCCAGCACAATCCAAAACACTTAAAATTTATGCCTATATTTAAGAGAAGTCACAGACAAAAAAGAGGGACATAAGTTTTTCCTCAAAATGTCATTTAGTTAGCAAAGTACAACAGAATTGCTTAAAATACCTAAATTATGGATACAACATTTTTATAAATTCATTAAAGAAATTCAACAAAGCTTCAAATAAATTAAAATTTTGTTACTAACAGAGTTATTACTATGCAAGTCTTTAAAAATATAAAAATTATAAATCATAGTACTCCATCAAAAAATAGGTAACATCATAATCTCTACATCTATACGTAAAATATTGCCTAAACCTCTAAAATAAAATTTAAAAAAAATCACAGGCTTCTACAACAATAAAACTAGCTTTCCATTCTACAAAATCCGCAAACAGTTCAATTAATATTCTTAATTATTTTGAAAAAAAAAAAAAAACACTAGAGCTCAAAGCAAATACTGATATTAATCAGATTATACTAATACAGTTTGAAAAGGTAACCTCTTAAAGAATATCTCTTAATGATCTACACACTATTTAAAATGAAGATTAATCATGGCTTCAAGGGTTAGAGCCTTTCATAACAAATTATGAAAAATAATCATACAAAGGAACAGCTACCTAAAAATTAATTAGATAAACAATTACAAGAGAACAACTGAAGCACCATGTAATCATTAATTATTAAATGACAGTCAACTGAAAAGCAACTTAAATTTGGTTTTAAGTTAGAACTGAGGTACTGACTAAGCATTTGCAAGCAACTGATATTAATAATTTACATTGAAAGAATTAATGTAAAGAAAAATTCCTTAAATTCGGTTTCATCATTTAAAAAGCTCTAAAATGTGAATACTGCTGAAATCTTGAAATTTGTAAATAAAACGTTCTTATTAATAAGTATTACTGAAAACGCATAAATAAATCTGATGGAAGATTTGCAAATCTACTGTCAGTGAAACATTTCTCTTCTTTTCTAGAAACAAAATAAGATGCTGAAGTAAAAATAGAAAAGGGTTAAAATGCTATGTTGATAAGTAAAGGAACAAATTATAGAAAGATAAGACTTAATCCACCAGGAAGTAAAACTGTCAGTCATAAAATGAAATAATACCCTCAATACCCCATAAAAACATGTAATTAGAAGGCATGTTTTTGAAGCACATAGAACATATTAGCTTATTAACTATTAGAACGTGAAAAACAGTGCTTGGAAGGTGAACTGACAATATCATCTGAACTGGGTGAATATGGCAGCGAAACATTTAATACTTGTGAATGGACATTAGAAGAAGTATTAGCAGATAAAATTTGTGGCACTGATACTGGTGAGGCAATATGAGACATCACCTGATGAAATTCAGGGTTGACATTAATAGCAGAAGTTGCATTAATAATGCGGCGAACAGTTTGTGGTGAAGAATGTGGAGCTGCCTCAACTGACCTCTGCACTGCAGTTTTGTTACTTAAGGCTGTCATATTTTGGTTAGTATGCACATCATGAATCTGCATCTGTGGCATAGCAACATTAGTTATTGAAAAATCAGAAATACTTGCAGTTGAAAGCCCTCCAATAGGTTGGCCTACAGGAAGAGAGCAGATCTCATTTAAATCATTCCTCAGTGTTTGTTGAACAGTTGGATCTTTAGCATAATGGAGGTGATTGAATGTTTCTCTGATACATGGTTCACTCATGCAAACACCAAAATCACTTTGCTTTCGCATACTTGAATCAACAGGTGGTATCATTTCAGCCATCGGAACTATTTTGGTATTTTGATGCAAATCAGAGGGTCGTAAATAAGATGCATGCTGCGGTTCACAAGCAACTATTCCAACTTGATTAACATGAGAGTTTTGGTTCAGTGGCATATTAATACTGCATTCTTGAGAACTCTGGTCTTTAGAAACTGGTAAATGATAAGCAAAGCCTGAGAATGGAACACTTCCTGTCTGAATATTTGCAACATTACTTTGATAATTTTTCCCATGAAAGCAGCACTTTCCTCCATAATGAGCTCGTAAATGATGCATTTTGTAAGAGTAAAGTTCTTGTTGATGGCGTCTAAATAGTTCTTGCCTTTCTTGTTCTTGTCTATAAAAATAACAAAGAAAGGTATTTTAAGCTATACATCACAAGAAGACATTTTAAACACAAATACATAAATTTCAATTAAGATCAATTTACTTTCAAATTTAATGAAGTTAGGAATATTTCCAAGAGGATTAAATGGATATTAAACATGAAAAAGATTGCTATGTTTAAAAAAAAAGGAATGAAAAAATATCTTTTCAAAAATACTATTACAGTACGACTCCAGGTAGCTGAAGGCATCATCTTAGATCAAAATTGTATCAGATTATTAAAAAGGTCATCCAATACAAACTTCATTTTAAATCATATCAACGCTTTTGTTTGACAAGTTTTTCTGAAATTGTTTTTAATTTTTCGGACCTTTTTTTTTCTTTTTTAATTGTTACTGTAGGTTACTCTTTCAGAAAACAAGAGTATTTCAATGCCCTAAAGCTGTACTAAGAAACAATGGAATTTGAATTTATATGTTAAATATTTGTTCTTTTATTTTTTTATGAGCTCTGATAAGCAAGGTACGATTTGAATCTAAACTTTAATTATTTGTGCTTTTAGTTTCTCATGAACTTTTATACTTTATTATGGAAGGTTTAAAATTACAATATAAAACTTTATATACAACATTTACGAATACAAAAGGCTATTGCCAAAAAAATTATGAAAACAAAAGTTTCCAGACTTCATCAATTAAATTCACAGTCACATGATAAATTCCAACACTCCGAAATTATTCAACATGCAATTGCTGAATTATTACTTGGCATGGGCGATGAAAACAAGAAAAGGAGTATGCTAAGGATTTCAGTGAAGCTGAAAATTATACAGAAAAATACTTTTCTTTTAAGGTTGAAAATTTTGAAATTCAGAAATTTAACAGAGATATCAAATTCTTTTTGGGATTTTGGAGTCAATTTTCTAGAATTCATGAAAATGAAGAAATGCCGGATGAGGATAGCTTCCAATATTTGATTCAAGCGATTAATCCTGGGTCTTGAGCTGCGAGTTTAATAGACAGTTCCCCCTATGGTTCAGAATTACCCGAAAACGATTAAATTATTGAGATTGGCAGAGAAGATTTGTTGGTACATTTTCGTGATTTACTCTCAGTGGTAATAAAAAATGCAGTAAGTGGTAGGAAATGTACAGACTTGATTACTTTATACAGTCAACTGGAATCACATTTAACAGCTTTAGCTATATCAAGGAGATTTAAAGAAAAGTTTGCAAATTTCTTGTCTCCTCTTGTCAAGTCTTATCTTGCTGAAGATGTTTTGAGAGCTTGGGAAAGATACCGAGTGTCCAATCTTCCTAATGGTAGCAATAAGGTTGCTGGAAACAGTCAAAGATCGCTTGAGAAGCTTATGAAATTTTTATGGCAAGAAGTTAATGGTGAGAAAATGATAAATTTGGCTTGATTAAGTTTCAGAACTCTAGTTACGGTTAAAAAGGAAGTTGATACTTCAAGAAATAATATCCCTTATGTTTCAGCTCTTATTTCGTCCACACATGAAAAGGTTAAATGTATTTTTTGTGATCATGCACACTTTATTCAAGATGGTAAGAAAGCTCCCGGGATGACTTCAGATGAGAGGAAATCTCAAGTTATACGCAAAAGATGTTGCTTAATTTGTCTTAAGCTAGGTGACATAGCTGAAACGAGCCTGCAATCTGTCACTAAACGGTTGTGAAGAGAAGATATCTTGGATGGATATCATGAATTTTTTTGCAGTGGCAGAAAGAATGTATAATAGAAGAAGTAGAGCAATATGCAATCAAGAGTAGCAGTCATTATTTACTTCTTAGTAATTAAGTTATCAAGTACAACCACAAAGATCTGCCCTGTGTTCAATGCCTCAGTAAAAGTTCCTGGCTGCTGGCTATACTTCCTTAAATGACTGAGTACGGGACCTAGTCTTTTACAGCGGGTTCCCACACTATTGAACAAATTCTGACTGCATGCAGGAGTGAAAGCAGATAGCAAACAAGCTTTCTTGCAGCTTAGTAGTAAATGATCAGAAGATCAAGATGTACTATTTTTACAGTGGAAGGCGCTCCTGGAAAGTTAAAATAATATAAACATTGTTGTGTAGTGTTTGGGGTTACAGCAAGCCCTTTCTTGCTAAATGCAACAATTCTGCATCATTTAAGTTACAAAAATATCAAACAGAAGAGTTGAAATTTACCATACCATCAAACAGAAGAGTTAAAATTTACCATAAATGCAAGTTTTTATATCAAAAACAAGTTACAAATATAATGCAAGAAATATGTTTTAATTTTCATTGTTGGTCTCAAACAGGAATTCAAGATGGGAATCAAAAGGTACTAATGAAGTATGAATTGGAATACTACCTCCGATGAAGTGAATGAACTCAACTGTGCTTTGCCGGAGACTTTAGTGAAATTACAAGAAAGAGTTACAAAAAGAAATTTACTTTCTGTAATCAACAGCATGTATGATCCCATCGGTTTTACATGTACAGCAATGCTGCAGCCAAAGCTCTTGTTACAAAAAGCCTGGAAAAGGAAACTTAATTGGGATGAACCACTCCCGGAGGATCTAGTGAAATGTAAGGAATGGTCAAATCACCTGTCTCTTGTTGAACATATTTCTATTCCCTGGCAGATATTGCCAGGAAAAATGCATGCTTACATAGTGAAAAGGAATCTGCCAGGAAAAATGCATGCTTACATAGTGAAAAGGAAGCTACAGTATTCCTACATTTAGTATCTGCAAAAGCCCGATGAACTGGCCTACTGTACCTAAAATGGAACTTCTCGGAGCTGCCATTGCATCAGGATTAGCAAAGTCTATTTTGGAAGATATAAATTTACCTTTAACAACATATTTTTGTACAAATTCTATGGTGGTACTGCATGGATAGCCAAGAAGGAGCCCTGAAATAACTTTGTTGGGATTCTCAAGAATTGACGAAAAATTTCAAGAATTGACAAAGAAATTCAAGAATTGAGCAGCTGCTGAAGACTACCTGGTGGACTTAAACTAACAGATTTACCATCTTGATCTTAGCACGGATTGCTGGAAAGGGTCCTTCATGATTAAGGAAACCTGAAATTACATGGCTTGTTACAAATATAGTTTTCCCAGAAGAAAGTTTACAAGAGAGAGAAAAAAAAAAAAAAAAACTATCATGTGCCACAAATATTCAAGGAAGTGAGAAATTAGTTATAGATTGTTGCATTTCTCGAAATATTCTAAACTATTAGGCATGATTGTTTGGATAATTAGATTTTGTGACTACTTAAGAAAAGAGAAGATGAAAGTTTCTATATCTAAAACCAGTGATGAAATAGAAAGGGCCGGAACTGCACTTATCAAGTTGATTCAGAGTTAATGGTCAGTAGAAAACAAGAAGAAATAGGAAGAATCAATGAAGTCCTACAAAGAATGGAGGACTATTCAAGATGTAAACTCGGCTCATCTTTGGAGATGGTATTGATGATTTTAAGTACCCTATAGTTCTACCTGATCATACAATCATTCGATGTTTAATTGAGTATATGTACAGGTCATTAAGTCATGCAGGAGTACAAACAATCTTATCACACCCGAGATAAAGGTTTTGGATACCTCATGGGTGTAGAATTATTTGTGAGAATATATTTGGCTGCATTCCATGTAGGAGACATTCGTCTGAGGCCATAGTCACACAAGCAGCTCCACTTCCACCTGAAAGATTGCACAGAGTGGCCCCTTTTTAAGTAGCAGGTGCAGATCTAGGTGGTCATATTTTCCTTCGAGGAGGGGAAGGCCTGGATTGTCCTATTCATCTGCCCTGTATACCATGCGGTACATTTACAGTTAATAACTGCATCTGACGACAGAACCTTTTATTCAGTCTTTGCAAAGATTCATGGCTAGAAGAGGCAGAGTTTCAATCATCTACACTGATAATGGAACAAACTTCATGGGTACTTCAGAGGCTCTTCAAACAACAGATTGGAATGAACCTCTACCTTTATGAGAACTGACTTAAATCTTTATGTTAGATTACAGTTTTTAAGGAGTACATCAGTTTTATTTTGTAATATCTATATGTACAAGACAAAAGATGGGAGAATGTTGCATATCGATATTCATTGTTATCAGTTTTAGAATTCAGTTTTTATTTTGTATGTCACCACGACAATGAGATGTTCTATAATCTAAAGAAAATGTTTTGTGAGTAACTTGTGTAAGGCTTCTAAGTCAGTAACAATATATTAGTATGAAATGAAATATTTAGTTTATGACTATGTGTTCCTCTCCTTGAGGAGTTAAAACACTGTGTATTAACACAGATCTATAACTACCAGAAGTACTGCATTTTAATTTAGTAATTGAGAGTAAATCTAGAACTTGATTGAAATATTAAAAAACTGTATATTTAATGAGCGATGCAGTTGGAGCTACTGCAGTTTATCAGAAACCAAACAGTCGACCCAACTTATGGCTATTTTTTTGATAATTTGATAAATGACAGTAGAAACATGAGATTATGCTCAAATCAAATGGATTTTGTTGGATCATTACCATTTAAGCGTAGAAGCCTTTAGTCAAAAGTTTGTAAGTCGTACAAAGAAGCTGAACAATAGGTGTAAAGATTTTATGTATGAATTGCAGACAGACTACAAAACAGTACATTTGAGATCATAAAATGGTATGAAAATACTAAAGTTCTCCTGAAAAGAGTAAATGAATTAGGGACATATTTTGATGGCATGGTAAATGGATTAGAAGTTAATATTTTTGCTGAGCTAAAAGAACAAATGGTAGTGGATGAGACAAAAAAGCATGCCAGTGCCAAAACAAAAGGAATACACATAGATGAATAGAAGTGAAATTAAATCATTGCTCATGTTAGCAGAGAAGCTAGATAACTTCAAAATTGTGGGGCGAGATTTCAAGAAAAATGTAGACCCAACGAATTTAGAAAATGAGAGGAGAAAATAGTAAAGTTCTACTGAAGAGAGTAAATGCCATTACTCAATTCCAGACAAGGAAAGATTTTCCCCAACCAGAGAGACAGAATGAAAAGATGAAGGCGAAGTCAATAAGCATAATTTTTAGAAAATAAAGGGTAAACTAGCTTTCAAGTTAACAGGAGAGAGGGAGAACAGGGTCCGTAATTGATCACCAACCAATGGAATGATAGGTTCGGGGAGTGCACTGAGTATTTGTCAGAAGATTTAAAATCATTCACCATGAGTGTGAAACGTTAGACCCTATTTGTGAAAAAAACTAAGAACCCAGAAATTTCCTGCAATGAAAACTACGAGAACATTCACAGAATTAAATGGGAAATTAATGAGTCAACCAGTGCTCCATGTACCTGATTTTGTGAAAGAATTTGCAGTGCAGTATGATGCAATGCAGTGGCTTTAGAGGTTGTTCTATTATAACATACCAAACCGAATGCATCCTGTGATTTTATTTCAATAATAAATTCAGTCCTGCTGAGAGAAAATACAGCATGATTGAACTACAGCATAATGAATATACAGCATGAGTGTGAGACCATAATATATGCTCTAAATTAGCTGAGGTTTTACCTCGTTCAACAGCTTTTTATAATCCAAATGGGTCATTAGACTCTTACATGGCCAAATTCTCATTCTGATGCAAATCAAAGGTTACTAAGATGGTCTCTATGTATTTAACTACAAGATCAAACCTAGACCAGAACCTGCAAATAAAAATGTGGATGCACTTAGCAATCAATATAAGCATTAGCAGAACACGATTAACGAGTCGCTCTTTAGAAGTCAACAGACTAATGAATTTTTAACCACTCTAATTTAATTGTGTAAATGTTTAATGTGATAAGTAAATATGTTACCACAATGTTAAATTGTTAAAAGTTTATGCATTGTGAATGTAGTACCTATTCTAAATATGTATCATCTAAAATTTTGAAAGTACTCTGTATACAAGCCGAGTTTAGAAATGTATAAATAATACTTGAAAAAGATGAAGCAAATTTTGCATTTTTAGGTCAGAGCCAGTTACAATAGTTACTTAGCTTGAATTAGAAATGTTTAATTTTATATTCTTGCCTCAAGGTTTTTAAGCAGGAGTACTCTAGGATTGCATTACTGTTTATGTGTCATCATGACAAATTCTCCACTTGGTTGAGTAGGCTTAGAGCTTCTATATGATTTTAAGCGGTTTTAAAAGAACCATTGGTGAATAATCAGGAATGTTTTTACAACCAAATCTTGATGTCATGCCAGACATTCTATTGTGCAGCAGTATAAAAGGGTGAGCACACTCAACAAATAGAATTTCTTTCACTTCTTGAGATAATTGCTTACCTTGTGGAAAGGAGTTCCCAACAAGTCACATTAGAAGATAACTATGTTAAAGATGCATTTTGGATGATTTTTCATTAACAGCTTTCATTGTATTTTAACACAGAAATAAAAGTTTTATGCTTTTAACTTCACATTCATTATTTTCATGATTACAATATTACAAGGTAAATGTGCATCTCCATATATAATAAAATTAACTATTATTTTTTGACATTTGTGTATTACGACTAAAGGCCACTAGAAAATATAACATCATAACGTTTATAATGTTTTGAATCATGGCTATACATATTCAGAAAAAAGAATACATATAATGACAATTTCTTTTAAATGAAAACTTTAAAATATAAACATTCTTTGCGAGTTAGGAAATGGAAATCAGAATATATCTCATTTAATTTTTCATATCTTAATGTCAATTGTGCAATTTAAGCATTTAGAACAATTTTATTCTTAATATGAGAAAATATTTAAAAAAATAATAACACTTTCGTTGATTGATTCCTGACAATTTGATTTATTAACCTGCATTAACTTTTCTTACTTCTCATTAAATTCTTTTGATATATTTAAAGCTATATATTCTTGCTTCTCATGAATATTTTCTCTTATATCCTGTAAAAAAGCTGCCCAGATGGGAAGTGGTTAGCGATTCTGATAGCTGTATGGAAGCACTTGGGTTCGAATCCCAAAGAACGAATGGATGTATTTTGTCATGCATTTATAGCAAGCAAAGGTGGCCCACCCGTTAGGTGTCTCCATAATAAAGAGACCACCGTTTCTGGCCTCAGCAATCACCAATGCCTATAAATGGCTAGAGCCCACCCTTGGGGGGAAATATTCTGTCAAAAGAGATTATATATATTCTTATATTAATTATGTATGCATAGTTTAGGATAGCAAAGCATACAAAGGCTAACTGCCTCAGGGAAGGGATTCTTCATAGAGGGTTTTTTCCCCCCTTTTTTTCAGGGGAACAGCTTCTTATTTATGTTACATATGAAGAAAATCCTGAAAACACTGACTAGTTGATATAAAAGCCCATGTTAGCCCATTATAATCACTTTACGTATAATCACAGTTTTTGAATGTGAAGCTTTATTTTCTTTTTCTCTTCCTTGCAGTATCCAATTTCACGTACATGTCATATATAAAATTTAAAAACTCATTTGTTTCAAAAGGCTGTTAGCTTCAGCCCATTGCAGAGACTTATTACGTGATGACTTATCTACCTTTGATGTATTTAAAAATAATAAATAAAAATAATAATAAAGCAAAACCTTTATTTTTTCTTGCAGTTACATTTAGAAAGCAATATTTTGCAGAGGCACCATTGTATTCGAGACAGAACTGCAGGTGAAACATTTTCTTCAGCCTCATAAAATGCTATGGGTACATACCCACAACTGATTGCTGAGTGCAGCTGTTTTGGTTAGAAACCTCCCATTCAAACTAGTGCTCAAAAAAACATGTTTTTTGGAAAAGTTTTTTTATAGCATCGCTACATGTGATAAAGCTATTATGCTTTGCCAAATGGCAGCACATTTCTTTCAAATCATTCAGTTTTTTAATTAAATTTTAAAATATGCTTTCATGAATGACAACACACTGCTGTTACATCTCTAAGTCTGTTTATCAAAATTTAATCAAGTTTGTATGAAACATAAAATAAATAATCAAACAAATCTAAAATTGGGTGTTCAAGGCACACATGTTTAAGTGTAGAACCATGCATATTAAAAAATTTATTGGCTGTAGATGTCACTGTTTTTCCACAACGCAATGAATGGATGGAGCAAATGACTAAACAAAAAAATGCACACAGATTCTTCACTACTTTAATAATGAAGATTATATATTCAAATCATTTTGCTTCTGATATAAACGTATGTTCTAAAGTTAAAAAAACATGTTATTTATGAGAATGCTAATATTTATTTTTTTGGAAGTTATTCAGCAATTCATATGTGTGAACTAAGTAAATGATAATAAAACCTTGCATGCATATATTTTCCTATTGCTCCATCTACTTCCTATTCTTTAATTTAAACAATTAGCTATTCATTTGCTATAATTAAGCACAAAGGGGGTGGAGAACACGTACAAATTTCCTATAAAACAATACAGTTATATATAAAATTACTATTAATCTAGGATCTCATCCTTAATTCTAGATTTTGTAAGGCATGTTCTATTATTTTAAAGACTTATCTGTATCCCAGTGGAAGGAAAAGTTCTTGAAAAACTGATCTCTACAAAGCAAAGTTTGAGTAAGACCGTCTGATAACCTAAGATGTGACCAGCACTGGGGCCCAAAATTTCACCATTCATTTGTTGATATTTAAAAAAAAAAAGAGAGAGAGAGAGAGAGAGAGAGAACCATCACCAAAATATTTTATGATATTAAAAAATGCATTTTCCATGCTTGTGGCCTACAAATTAGCTTATTGCTTTAATTGTCCTTGACAAAAACTACCATTATTAAAAAAATCAGCAGTTAGATTCCTTATTTATTTATATACTTTTCCCATGGAATGTTGTAAATCAGAAAAGAAGGCCCTGATTTTTTTTGGAGGGGGAGAGGCATGCGAGTCCAATAGTTCTTAAACAACTGTAAACACCTGATAGTTGGAAATGGTGAAATCCATAAATGATTTTACACAAACTGCAGAAGCTAGTATGTAACACAAGGGTTACCTATTTTATAACTCATGTGAGCAGAGATAGACAATAACAAACATTCATCAGATTTCACCCACAGCCCAATATGACAACAAGCTTCGGTAATTACCATAAACACCAGAATGATACTAATGACAACTAAGATGCACAAGAAGATACACTGGAAATGATTACAATAAGAGTATAAATACATTACCTCATTTCTGCAAGACTTTATAAAAATTCTTCCTACTGATAAAATTTTTATTGGTTAAGATTAGCACAGAGATAATATGACTTACATTTATCATAAATGCTACAAAATATATGATGACTAAACAGAGGATTTGGGATAACTTCTCTTAATGTGATGGCAAAGCAAATAATAAAATATTAAATTTAATTATTAAAGATATTTATAATGCTCTTATTTACAACAATCAATAGCATTCATGACTACAATATTTGTGCAGGATGTATAAAATTTAAGTGTCCTGAATTTTCATACTTGGACACCATGATTCATCATTTCTCCAGTTTTGTAACTATTTCTGCATACACAATGATGATAATCATCCATAATTAACTTTTGAGTGTGATATTTTACAACAGAGCACTAGTCTCTCTCCTAATGTTTTACTTTCAGCCAAAAATAATCATTAATGCAGTTTTAATTGACTTCAATAAAAGCACAATACAAATACCTAAACCAAAAATCAGTTTTACCACATTTTAAAGTTATCAGCAGGTAATTGCTAAAGTAGACTTCTTCAAGCAAATACTCTATATAAATATAATAAATGGATTACAGTTACTTAGTACAGAAAAAGTTTGGTTACCAATTCAGTATATGATAGCGAATGCAAACACAAATATAGACTTTTCATAGTACAAAAAATAATGAAGTTATGCTTTCTCAACAATCAGTACTAATACTGAGCTTTGCATATGTTTGTACAACATAAAAAAAGTGATTTTACCTTTCTAAAATTACTTTCAAGTATTCATCATTACATTCCAAAATTTCAAGTGTTTTACTTTCCAGTTCAGAATGAGATGGCTGAAAAAAAAAAAAAAAAAACTGATTCAGTATACAAAAGTTTAATAATGGCATAAAAATATGCAGATAACTTTAGACCAACCATCCAGAAATTCAAGATGTAACATTTTCATCAAAGACTGTTTTTCCTCCACCTTTATTTGAAAGATGCATATGAAATTAATATGAAGAAAAGCATTCACTTCATTTAAGTGTCAGATCTGTTTACATGGTTGCCACTCAAACAGGAGAATGAAATTCCCCGACTTTTCCAGGTGTGTTTTAAGAAAATTCCAGTCTATCCGCGTAATGCACGTTGGCTGTGCTAAGAGGTAAATTCATTATGGTTCCACTTGAAAACACAAAAAAATTTGCCAATTACATATGACTTTACCCCCAAAGCATTACTATTATAACTTTAATCAGAGTTGTTTTCTCCACTAAAGCTTGAGCTTAGAATCTGCCCAATCTGGATTAAAAAATGTCCTTTTAATCCAGATTGGGATATTAGACATTTTGCAGCTAAATGAAAGAGAAAAATCTGTTTAATGACATTTTTAAATAAATTCATGTATTTTATATTCATTTAGCAGTATACATGAACAAAAAATATGTCCATTAAATTTTGTGATGGTATATCATCATACTACTAGAACTAGTTTCAGGATTATGGCAGAGAAAATTGCCTGAAATTTGAAAGTATTATTTACTAATTGTAAATAAACTTAAAGGGAAGAAGCAACATTAAATGATACGAATAACATTAAAATGAAGTTAATTACTGAAAAATTGAATTAGAATAATCAATGATATTTTGGCGAATACAGTTATATTAAATGGTTAGCCTAGGTGACTGATTACTATTTTTTTATTTTACTGCAAAACGACAAATAAGGCATTTATTAAAAAGGAAAAAAAAAAGTTTAAAAAATTTTGCGGAAAAATCCTAGTATACACTATGGCCTTGGCACGATTTTGAAAGTTGTTGCCAACACAAAAATGACCAGTTTACCGCTCATCATAATGTCAAAAAATCCTATGTGTACTGTACGTGGGGTTAGAATAGAATACATGGAGGCTATTCTAACCTCCATATTACCGTATATTAGGATTAATCCAATTTTGTTTTATACGAGAATATGTATTTTCTTTAGTTCAACATGCTCTGCACATGCAAGTCTCTCGATTCTCAAGGTTACTGGAAACTGGCTTTGCCTTTCTAAAAGACAATTTAATTGGAGTTGCAAAAATTGGTTCTATGCCAGTTGGCTGAATGATGCTCATGCAATGCATAATTCGCCAACAAAGTGATGGTTTTGTTTTGGGATCGCTGTATGAAATTCCCCGACTTTTCCAGATTTTGACTAAAATATTTCAATTCTCTGAATTTTTTGGTCAATTTTCGAATTCCCTGGCATTTTCCGGTTTTCCAGGTAGTGTGGCAACTCTGTGTGAAGGAAAGAGAGGACTGAAAACTACAGAATTTTTTTAAAAAATAAAGGAAAGGCATAATTAACTTTCTTAAGCCGGCAGTATAGCAGTTGTACCAAGAAAATGAGTTTCTTTAACGCCGGCTGTGGTACAACTGTCATACCAGCCAGTCCCTCAATATTTTAGAGAATTGTCTTTCTAGAGATCTCTGGGTGGTCCATTGTCGCTGCTCAGAATAGACGCTGGCTATGCAATGTTACACTCTTCTTATCAGTTTGGCTACATTTTGGCAAAAGCCACAGGTTTCGTCTCGCGCCAACATACTTGAAAATCAAATAGAAGCCATCTCTTTCTCAAACGTTAGAGCCCTGTCTCATAATTTTAGTGCTAGTTTTTTTAGTACTAACTTTTGCAATGATTAAAACATCAGCGATTTTGCACGCTGTTTAAGCTTACCAGATTTAATGCTTTTTAATCATAGCTCATAAGATTAGATTAATATTTTAGATTTAATGAAAAAATAGAAATAGGTAAAACTGCATTTATCGTTTATTTCCTTTTTATACTTATGAATAATAAGATGTTATTTTGACCCTTTTTTTCTGGAGTGCATAAAACCCTTAAGAACTGTTAACTCTTTCAAAGTGCTTCCCTTATGTAGGCAATTTTGTCTGATTTATCAGAACACAATTGCATGCGTAATACTTCTTGTGATTTTCATTCATTCAATGATTGATTTCAATGATTTCATTCAATGATTGCGTTGAATGATCTTTATTCATTGTAAATTAAATAAAACCAATTTTTCTTTAGACCTTCTTTTAGAATGGCATCTGCCGAAGTTTTTAAATATCATTAAAGCTCATGTAACTTCTACTAAATTGAATCAAAACATCAGTTACTTTGCATAAAATTTCGGCCAGTTTTATTTGCTGAAATTCTTGTACTCCCCAAAAGACAAAAGGAATTCAGACAAGTTAATAAAAAAATTATCTTTAAAAAAGAAATGTTATTTTGTCTGTAATAAGGTGTATGTCAAATTACTATTAAATGTATGAGAATTAGGATTGGATTATGGAAAAGCATGTGAACGCTATCTGCTTAAGGGGATGGATGCTTTTGTGTAAATCTTTTTAAGAGAAAATTGCTTGCATTTACGTTCCTGATGGAAAACTCCACATGTAATCAACCCGTTCTCTGGGTTTGATTGGATTAATTTTGTTCCCTTACTGAATTACATCAAAGCACACAGCAATTACCTGTGTAAAGGGAGAGGTGCCTTCGCGGAGGACTTTCTAAGGGCAGCTGGCTTGTACTTACGTTACACAAAAACCACGAATCCAACCCTTTACCTGGGATTCAAACCCGAGCGAGCTACAAGTGTTCAGCCACCTTTACCACTCTACTGAAGGGCCCGTAAAAAAAAATTGATAAAGAAAAAGTATTGAAATAACCAGTTTAATTTACTAACCTATATTTCTCAATCGGCAGTATATAAATTAGGCATATGAAGGGATTATTTGTGAATAAATAAGCTGCATTGAACTAGTCTTCACTATTTCATATTATGTTGGAATTATTGCATTTCAAAGTTTCAAAGATACTTTATGCAAAATTTGGCATAAACAGTTTTCTTAATTTTGCTTTGAAAATATTCCAGGGTAATCATTTTCATTACTGGAAGAAATATGAAAAACAGATTTACTACATTATAAGTGTGAACACCCAGTATGCCCTTATTCTTTTGAAACGTGAAAGATTACATTTTCTAAAATAAATTAGAAAATATATTATGTGCAAATAGAATATTCGATGAAAATAAAATAGACTTCAACCTTTGGATATAACGATGGTTTTAGACGAAATTTCTGCATATGAAAGGAAATTGACATACAATTCTTTATAAACATTTAAAACTGTACTGAAAAATACTTTTGAGGATTGCATGTATAGGTCAAAGATTTTTTTTTTTTCCTCTGCTAACATAAGCATAAGCCAATTTTACAAAGAAAAATTCTCGTGAAAGATGTACCTCCTTTGCCTGATAATCCAATGTAATGTTTGTTAAAGTTAAATGATGAAATGCAACCAATGTATCTCTGTATTTTTTTAAATTTTTTTTTTATATTATAACAAAATTATCGAAAAAAGCAGATTTAAAGCTCTGTTATTGTTATGTAAAGCTTTATTATTGCTGTAAGTTCATCTCAAAATCTAATTGTATTGAATCTCATTCTAATCATCTAATAGTAATAAATATTATTAATGAATTTATTATTATTATTTCATTAAATTAGACATTACCATTATTTTGTTAATGAAAATATGTTATTAAAAACCACATTCCAACCTGCAGACTTACAAAGCTAGTTCATATTTATTATATTTTGTAAAATTTGTTTTCGTTTGCTAATTTCTAATTCGAAAATATGCGAATATAAATGAAGTGTGAAAACAAAGTTATAAAATTCACAAATTATTGCTGAAACTGATCAGAAATAGTAAATGAAATATAAACATTGCATACATTTTGTTTTCTAAATAGTGCAATATTTATTTAGAACTTCATTTAAACAAAAGCAAAATAATCATAGAAAAAATCGCAACAGCGTCTGCCAAATATGTAAATTTTACTGCATCCATGGAGGGGACTAACGACTTTTCTCATTAGGAAAATATCAAAGAAGGGGCAAAAGTATTTTGGATCGCGACGGCCTGAAGGCTATATTATGAGAATTTCGGCCCGGTTTTAGAAGGTTAATATGATAGGAATGACATCCCTCCTGTTTCCAAGAGAATTTAGGATATGCATTGATGCCTCTTTCCCAGCTTCAATACATGAATACAAATGTGTTCAAAACTAAGAGAATAAGCACATTTTTCTTAAATTCCATAGAAATGTTATACAGAATTTAACAAAGTCTGGTATAGATTCAAAGTAATAGGAGACACCAATTTATACCACAGAGCAATAAAAGAATCCATTAATGATCACGAGTACTGTTCATGAGAGCCGTAGTGTCCAGAATGGTGGTTGCAAAAACTGCACTTAAAATGAGGTTAATAGAGATCAGACACATTGGTCATACAGCAAGTCGTTATATTGTTAATAAGATGGTTCACAAGTCTGTTGAAACCATGCCCATTCCTTCACCAAACCAGCTCTTGGGCCGCTGGTTGATTCTTGCATGCAACTGGTAAACTGAAATAGCCCTCCCATTACCATCTAAGACATGTTCATTTCTGTCCAGGTCTGCAGATCTGGCGAGCCAATCCATCTGCCAAATATTCTCACCTTAAAGATATTTGTTCATTAATTGAGCCATACACAAACAAGTGTTGTCATCCAGTAAAAAAGAACTTACTGCTGAAAAGAACTTAAAATCTAGAAAAAAAGAACTGAAAAGTGTACATCAGAAAAGTTGTACATTAGACTCTAAGATCTCTCTACACTTCTCAGCAGTCAAGAGCCTCCCTCAAGCTCATGGAGTGGAATGGGGACTTTAACATAACACCCATTACCTCAGTGGTTTCTTGCTCTGATGATGGAGAAACAGTATCAGGCCCTATGAAGGTATTCAGTACGTAAGCTGAATTTAGATTCATCATTGTGAAGAACTTAACCCACCGAAACTGTACCTATGGGACTATGCCAAACGACCTAAATAAAAGTTTATAAGTTCAAAGGAATTTGTGAGACATGAACAAAATATGCTCTATCAAAATGCTTTCTGTTATGAAGCTGTTAGGTAACAGTAGCCTTTGAAATTAAGGTTCCAGTAGAAAGGTCATAAGAAATATAACAGCCCTCTAGTACTGGCTGAAAGTACTAAATATCATCATCACTTTTAGATTCACTAGCTTTATCGATAAAGATCCAGTTCCTAGATATTGTTTTTGAAAATTGTAAATGACACTAGGAATTACACTAACCTCTTTTGTAACCTGAAAAAAAAAAGTGCTCAGCCTCCAATTACCACTAATTTGTCATATTAAATTAAAATTGTCATTAAAATAATAATCACATTTTAGGCATTGCTAAGGGAAGTTTACAATAAACACACAAAGCATATGTCTGCACTAAGAAAGGAACAATAAATGACTGCTTTTTAAACTTACCACTGCTGCAGTGTCACCTACATGTACAAGTATGATTACATATTTGACACCAATTTACATATTTGTGGTTTTATGAGTACAGAAGCTATTTCATTCTGCAGTCTAGAATATATTGACTGCCATTGAGTAAGATATTTTACTTCTGCCTATCCAAACAAAAAACTTCCAAGGCAGAAAATATGATTGTGGATTTTTAAGTCTGTCAAAATGTTCCTGGATAATTGGTCCTACATTGCAAACATAGAAAAACTGAATGCTCACAAAATATTTTATATTTTGCAGTTATATTTATACAGTATAAATTAACAATAAAATTATTAAATATTATTTTGTTAAGTATTTAATAATTTGAAATATTTTAGTAATAACTACAGAAAGCTTACTTGTATATTTTCCCCTCTTTCCAAAGCTGAATGCAAAGGATTTGCATTAGCATCCTTAAAAACTGGTTGTTGAATTAGACTGATTTCCTCTAAATTAGCACATAATGGAGGAATCTCCTGCATTTTTGCACAAGTAATATTGTGAGAATTAGTGATGTGGGGATGTGGTAAAACAGGAAACTGGTTAGCTCCAGAATATCCTGAAGCAACGGAGCTACATGTATCTACAGTACAGAAAATATTCTGAGTGCTATGACCACCAGATACTACATCTGCAGGTATTTGTATACCACTTAGGGTAACATTTAAATCACTGGTATTTGAAAGACTAGGGCAGTATCTCAAAGGAGATACATATTCTGACATAGGCACATTTATGCAATCAAAAGCAGAAGGTGGCTCATGCCTTGTTATCAAAGCCTTGGAATCAGCTGTCTTACCTAAATCATTGCACATTATACTTTGACCAGAATCTGAAATTACTTGGGGATAAGACTTTCCAATATCAGATAAACTCTGATTTAAATCTTTCAGCTCATTTGCCCCAAGAAGTTGCTTTTCACAGTCTTCACTCTGAAAGGTCTTTGACTCTTCACTAGTACCATGAGCTGTAATTCTATTTATTTCTCTATTTTGTGCAGGACATATTATATTTGATTGCGGAAGAGAGATATTTGATGCATTGTTTTCAATACTGAAGGTATTTTTTGTATCATTATCTTTAATAGACTGCTCTTCAGATACAATATTATCAGAAATGCTTCGAATCAAGAGCATTTCAGGTGGATGTACAACACGAGTAATCATTTCAGTACCAGAAGACCCAAGAGCAGGATTACTACAGGAATGCTGAAGCAAACTATTTTGTTGAGAAATTTCCAGTGACTTTTGCTCTTGGGAAGACACAATGCTAGATGACACATTTGCATTTGAACTGCAAGTACCTTCCATAATCTGCGAATCTTTTTTAAGAACTTCATGTACAGAAGCTTGCGCCAAGCCAGTAGTAGTAGCTATTTCATCAGCAACACGTGTAATCTGAAAACGCCCTTGTTTTTTCACAGTAGCCTCAGTAGTTACTACTGCAGAAATTGAATTATTAACAGATTCAGAAACAGAAGAAATCATCATTGGCTGACTTTCAATTACAGGTGTCACTTTAAAACGAGAGAAAGCAGGTACACTTGATGTGTCAGGGATAACAACATCAGCACAGCTGTCACAGCCTAAAAGATAACAATTTTATATTAAACGAAATTTGTAAATATTATTTCATGTATAATATTTCACACAGCTACAAATATAACTTATGAAAGATAAAAATTAACAAAATTTTAATCTCCTTTGAACAGCTAATTTACCACCAAAAGTTAAACAACACAATATTTTTTCATAATTTTTATCTGGGTAAATTAATTAATTTGAATTGGAATAATCATTATATTAAAGATATTATTTTGCATACAAGAAAAGTCTTTTAGATTAGATTTCATTTTAAGAATCATGAAGTATTTCACTGAGAGCTAAATACGATTCTTAATTAGAAAGAGAACATTTTTAATTTATCACTACAAAATTAGAAAATATCACCAGAAAATAAATTAAAAAAAAAATTTCCAAGCCTAAATTTAAATCACATTTGATAATCTAAATAATAAAGCTTTTATATATAAACATTTAGAACTAAGTTCAAAAACATAATGAAGGAGGTAGAGGAGCATGTTTTCACATTGAACCGTTCAACCAATCAAATAACAGCATCCAACAGTTTGACAATGAAGGGGAAATACATATTAAGTAGCAAATAACAAAGTATTTAAAACCTGAATTTTTAACCATATATCTGAAAAGCATTTTCACTATGAAATGCTAATTGATCAACAATAATATAAATAATGTATTTTGTGATTTTAAATTTTGCTTTATCAAATATTCATGAGTAATATAAAGCATGTTTTTTAAAAAATATGTACATTATACATACAAGATTAGAAATTGAAGCTTGTACGTATGATAGTTACCTTATACGTAAATATTTTTATAGGACTTAAATGTATTCTGAGATGCAAAAATAAATATCAGTATACGCATGCACATATATGGCCAATTAGATAAATAAAAGATACTGGAAATTCATCAAGATATGTTTCTGTTGATATTTTCTACGGATTATACATAAATTTATCTATTAATTATTAATTATCACTGTAAAAATTAATTATTCCTATAAATTGCTATTAATGAATTACCCTCTAAATATGCTTGAAAATACAGGGTTCGTACACATTTCCTTACATAAAAATTAAGGACTTTTAAGGACCATCAAAGGAAAAATTAAGGACCTATCAGCAAACAAAAAAACGAATAGAATAAAGCAATTATCCATACAACCGACTTCATGCTTGTAATTTCTCTTTAAGAAACTGACAGAAGTGTGTACTATGCACTATTATTAAATTCAATTTAATACTTACCATAAAACAATTTTGAAAATTAAGCTAAAGTTATGAAGTTCATAACATTAAATAAGGAACATAATTTCTTGAAAAACATGTATAAGTGTATTTTACACTAATAACAGTCACTATTTTAGAGATTTAATGATTATTATTTAACTTATTTGATATTTATTTAAACACAGTCAACTACTATTATAATCACAATGTAAGAATATTTTGCAGATTAAAATAACTGATTTGTAAACATACAATTTATTTCCTTGGTTTTTTGAAAGATACTAGAATAATAAACTGTACAATAAAAGATACAAACATTTGCGCTTTTTTTAAATCTGAAATCTTTTCAGCTATTTTAACATCTAATTTATTTATGCCTATTTCCTTTTCTTTAACTATTCTTCTAAGTTCATTTGCTTTGATAAATAAATCAATGTTCCTGCTGGTCTCAGCTTCATCTGCTAAAGCATCTACTTATTCATTTATATCTTTGATGTCCCTTTGAAGAAATTTTTTCTTCTGCTTCATATAATCAATTTCTTCTTCAATAATATTTCTTTTCCTCTTTGAATTTTCAGATTTAGTTAAAGATTTTTGTTCTTCTAAATACTGCATATATTTAGACCTTGCAGAAGCTGCTGCTGATCTCATTTCTTTATTAATTTCGATATTAAGAACACCTCCAGAAAATTTTATGTAATCAAATACTGTGCATTGAAAAATGTATGATGAGTCACTTAAATTTTCAATTTCAATTGCTTTATTTACAGAGAAGCCCCTTTCCACAGAGACCTGTCCATGTGACAAGATAAGAATCATTTTCACTATTTACCATACTTTTGAATAGTGAAAATCATGAAAATAAGAAGTGAGAAATGTGTCAAGAGAAAGATTTTGAGGATCAAAAGTAGAAAATTCATGTAAATTTGTCTTAACTACTTTGTCTAGAAACTCTCCAAACTGCAGCAGAATTTAATCACAATCATCTTGTAAAACACGTTTATTCCGCATTAATACCGTTAGAACTATTTTCATTTTGTTCTGGACTTTTAACCATCAATCGCGGGTCTATACAAGATGCATTTCGAATAAGGGGATAATTTATTGGACATTTAGACATTAAGTGTTGTACCATTGTTAAGACACATTGTTGACCTTCTTGTTTCAATGCAAAACTTTCAGCTTGTGAAATGTCCTCCTTGCAGCATTTATCATTCATTAACTGCTCAGCAATGAATCCCAAATAAACTTTACTTTTATCATTATAACAATTTGGATCATTAAAATTAAATTTATAAAGATTTTCTGCTTTAGTTATTTTTGAATATTCTAGTTTCAAAATTTTAAGGTGCTGAAAGGCAATCATTTACAAGTTTTAAGATATCTTCAGCAAAAAAGGGAATAAGTGGTTTATCACTTTGATAATATTCAAGGAAAGGCAATAATATTTTCGACAGAGAGAGAAAAAATTTAATTTTATAAGAAATGTTTTATCTTTAGTTGCCTCCAAAATATTTGAGAAGGATTTCGATGAATTTTTTTTAAACTTCCCCATTTCAACTTTTTTAATGTACAGTAGCAAGTCATCCCATATTTCAATGGCTCTTTCAACTGCTAGGACATTTTACAACCATCCGTAAAAGCAGAACTTCACAGGTAGCTTTTTTAAGCCAGATATACTTAAAAAATCTTTAAAAATTTAATATAAGGAGGATAAGAATGATAGAATGTCCCAGCCAGTGGATGACATCCCATGCTTGAAAGCCTTGTTAAGAATGTGTAAACCGCATGTCCCTAATGTCAAGCATTGAATGTTATTGAATGTCAAGCATTGAAGTTCCTTTGTCAAGTCCTGTTGCAATAAATCATAAAATTTCCAGTTTACTGCAGGACCATCCATCGATATTTGTAAGAGTTATGACAAGTCTAGTTTTTCAACACATTCATAATATTTGGATAAAATAATTTCACTTGTTGCATGCCCTATAAATGCAGAAGTAAGGTACTGAGTTCTGACCTTATTTTCGTGATGCCAGTACCTCACATGAATATCTAGTTGCTTCTTTTGATTTGTCAGATTAAGAGTCTCATCAAATAGTAATGTAAAAAACTCAGCATTTTTACAATGCTTTAGTAACAAAGTTTTAAAATAAGGGCCAAGACCAAAATAACAGATATAAGCACATTTCTTTTCACCACATGAAAACTGTTTTGCAATGGAACTATCCGGGAACATTTTAGTGAATAACAGGCCCAATATCATCGCACGATTTAAAAGAATAGTGGCTTTTGATGCACTTAAAAGCCCACAATATTTCTGCATCTGTAACTTCAGATTTGAAAAGAAAAGAATTGATTTTATTATTTTCTACACTTATTGATGTTGAATTAGCAGTTACATCTTTTCCTGAAGTAGATGGTTCTTCTAACTTGACAAAATTCATGATACTGTTAGAAGAAACTCTGCAGTTGAGAAGGGAGAGATGTTTTGCACCTAAAAGGGGCATTACATGCAAGGCATTAGTAAAATTAAGTATCGCATATATATGTATATAATGTATGTATATATATATAATAAGAAATGTATACTGAAAATATATATATATATATATATATATATACAGTACAAAGTCCGAGATCCGGACATCCAATATCTGGAATGATCTAAAATCCGGACCTCAAAGCCACCACCAACCAATTTTTTAGGGCTTTTTTTGGAGGGAAGGGGTATGCTTTACGCATGCGCATTAGATTTTTTTCCTCATCATAAAAAAAAAACATGCCGGAAATCCCGATTCTTAATCTCAGTTTGGCGCTAAATAAAATATCTCATTATTGAAGAAATAATTATTTTAGCATAAATTTGTGTGTGATTAGTAACTTGACTCCATAGCTGCGTATCTGCTTGGCATAATCTCAAACCGAAACATTTGTTAATTTTACACCAACTAATATTTTATATCCTTGATGCCGAAATCGCGAATCATTATTTATTGTATTTTGCTTTCATCACCGCATGTTTATCAACGGATGACAACTTGAGTGATGACTCATGCAGCGACACCAAATAACAGAGTATTATCCGATTACAAATTTAAATTTTATGTGCTAAAATGTTGACAAGGGGAGATTTAAGCAGAAATTTCTTTCCTTATGCTAAAAATAGATTTTGTTAATGATACTCATAGGACAAACGATTATATTTAGTGCTATTTGAATTAAGAATAACTGATTTGTTATTCACATAAAGCCAGAACCAGCGCCAGAGCTCGCATGGCCGCACCAGGCGGCAGAATTTAGGGAAGTTAAACAGAAGTTTTTCATTGCGATGACAATGCCCCAATCATCAATCAATTAACGGAGGGCGAAATCTGTAGTATGGTTCTAAATCCAGAAAATACAGCTACCGATAGTGAAGAAAGTAACAGAGAGGTTACTGAACGAGAAAAAAATTTTGATTGACAAGTTATTCGGAATTCTCGACACAGCAATTACAGGACTTGAACAATGGAACTTAATAACTGAACAAGAAATTATATGTCTATAGTATTAGTCTAAAGTATTAGCAGAGAAAACAAATCAAACAACTCACATTGAAAGAAATGTTTAATAAAGTAAACATATAAATATTAAGCTCTTTTCTTTTGTAAATTTTGATACCCTTTAAATCATAAATGCTTCATTATTTCATAAATCACGATTTCATATTTTCAATTTTATAATTTCTACGTGCCATCTTAGTAGATTTAAAATGATCTAATATCCGGAAA